TGCTTAGCAGTGACAATGTAAGTCTGTAGTAAAGTAAACAGATTGAAGCACACATTTACTTTATTTTCATGTTAATTTCATTTACTTCAGCTCGAATTTTCACAATATTTTTATTTATAATATTTTAATTTTTGATATTTTTAAGTAATAATTAAATTTGTCAACGAATTTAAAAAGTTTGTTTGCGAAATTGAAAATTTTTCGGCGAATATAAAATGTCAGTAACTTCGTAACCATGGAAACAACGGTTACAATTTGCAAATCGAAGATAATGAATGTTACTACTCAGTTACTTAAATCGGTGATTTTTTGCGGTTGAAATAAACAATTTACAATGTTCAAATAACTTGTGTCCCGCTTTTTTTTAACATTATATAACATAATTAATCTATATACCAAAGGATATCTTGGGGTCCGGAAGTGAAATATTTATATTATGTGAAGACATTAACCGACCGCACTATTAACATGGTGATTGTTTTAAACTGGGATGTGTTTAGGTGTCGTTGTTGCGTCAGTGTAATATTAGGTAGAGACAGTTTAACATGAGCTAGTAGTTCGTTTAATGAATATATTCTGTTTAACTTATTATAGAAATGCTTAGATTTTAGACGATTTTGCAAAGTTCTATATAAAATATAGACATAGGACAAACAAGATTTTATTTATATAGTCATACATAGATACAAACATACAGAGATACAAACCTACTTATATACATACATACAAATGTACAAGTCTGAACAAATACATACATATATACATACATGCAAATGTTCACATACATATCTACCAAATGCTTAGACAATACACACGATTGTTTATTCTATTTTGCGATTTAGCGAAATGGATGAAACTTATATACACACATACATAAACACACATATACATACACACATACGTACATACATAAATACATACATAAAAACAAACATGCAAATATACAAACATACATACACATAGTTGTTATATTTTGGCTCCATCAAATTAAATTGTCTCAAATAATCATCATGTAACCGTCATTGGGGTTTTTGTGTGAATGTTGCAGATAGTGTAGTTATTATTATCATTATGCCCATAATAATATTAATAATAATAATAAAATATTATGATGAATAATCATTTATAATTCATTTTATAATATATATATATATTTATATAAATAAAAATATATAAATATATAATTATATATTTATTATGTATTTATTATAGCTACCCAGATGATTTATAGCTCCATCCAAATGATTTATTGAAAAATTATAGAGCGTATGCATGCATCCTATTGTATTAGCTCTTCTTTATACTTTCGCTTGGCCTAACCGCTACTTATTTTATGCCCTGAAAATCCCAAACACACGCACACACATATACACACACACAACACACACACACACAAAAAACACACACATAGGCAGAAAAACAGAAACATATATACGCTTATACACACTCCCACATAAACAAACATACACCTACTTACGCACAAACACACACCTACTTACAGACACAAACACACACACACACACACACACATACTCACCAACACACGCACACACACACACAATAGCTTCATTAACATCTAACATACCGTAGTTTAGATTAGCATAAGACATAAGGATGAACGTAAAAGTTGAAAAATTTAAATTCACCCGAGTCAGCTTGCTCTGAAAATATTCTCATGCACCGCACACACGCACGCACACACACACACACATGCACACACAGCCAACGAATTTTTAAAAATTTAAAAATGTACCCGGTTATTAGAATCATGTTTGAATAAGCAATAAGTTACTTAGTAGTAACTACACCGCTGCTACTCTTGTTACTTATATACTGAGATGTTTGTTTCGTTAGTACCTATTCTGTACTAAAGTATTACAAAACCGTGTATATATGTGTATCTGTATATGAATGTATGTATCTATGTATGTGTGTTTGTATGTATGTATGTTCATGTATGTAGCATCCTCAATGACAAGCATATCAACAATTTTGCAAAAAAGACTCTTCTGGTTGGATGAAGTGAGAAAGCAAGATAAGCATACATATTGTATGTTATACATAATCTTTCCCTTATATACTTTGGGTTGTATCAAAATTATTATTTGAAAATATAAGTTATATACACATAAGCTAATAGGAATTTTAATTGCATTCGTTACGGTCTCATGCTAAAATTTTTTTTCATTCACACACGTACACACAAACATGGATACACACACACACACACACACACACATACACAATTCATACTAACAAACACACAAACAAACAACACCCACAA